TAGCACCAGCTCTATCAGTGGTCCTCCTTACAGGCTGTCCTGTTCCGCTCCCCTTCAGCACCAGCTCTATCAGTGGTCCTCCTTACAGGCTGTCCTGTTCCGCTCCCCTTCAGCACCAGCTCTATCAGTGGTCCTCCTTACAGGCTGTCCTGTTCCGCTCCCCTTTAGCACCAGCTCTATCAGTGGTCCTCCTTACAGGCTGTCCTGTTCCGCTCCCCTTCAGCACCAGCTCTATCAGTGGTCCTCCTTACAGGCTGTCTTGTTCCGCTCCCCTTCAGCACCAGCTCTATCAGTGGTCCTCCTTACAGGCTGTCCTGTTCCGCTCCCCTTCAGCACCAGCTCTATCAGTGGTCCTCCTTACAGGCTGTCTTGTTCCGCTCCCCTTCAGCACCAGCTCTATCAGTGGTCCTCCTTACAGGCTGTCCTGTTCCGCTCCCCTTTAGCACCAGCTCTATCAGTGGTCCTCCTTACAGGCTGTCCTGTTCCGCTCCCCTTTAGCACCAGCGCCTGCCATAACAAAGGAGGATTGCCCTGAAGAGTTCCTGATGGATACAGGTAGTTGGATGCCATTCGAGGATGTTGCTGCCGCTGCCTTCTTTCAATGGGAGCTGGAGGCGTTGAAGCAGAGGAGGGCAGTGTTGCAAGGAGCGAAGAGAGCTGAAAATAATGGGAGAAACTCCCCAAATACAGGTGTGCCAAGCCTGTAGCGTCATACCCAAGAAGACTCGAGGCTGTAATCGCTGCCAAAGGTGCTTCAACAAAGTACTGAGTAAATGGTCTGAATACTTATGTAAATGTGATAATAAATTAGCAAAATATTATAAAAACCTGTGTTTGCTTTGTCATGGGGCGGCGCACAATTGGCCCAGCGTCGTCCAGGGTAGGGGAGGGAATGGCCGGCAGGGATGTAGCTCAGTTGGTAGAGCATGGCGTTTGCAACGCCAGGGTTGTGGGTTCGATTCCCACTGGGGGCCAGTATGAAAAAAAAAATGTATGCACTCACTAACTGTAAGTCGCTCTGGATAAGAGCGTCTGCTAAATGACAAAAATGTTAAAAATTTAAAATTTTAATTATGAGGTATTGTGTGTAGATTGATGAGGAAAAACAACAATTTAATCAATTTTAGAATAAGGCTGTAACATAACAAAATGTGGAAAAAGTCAAGGGGTCTGAGTACTTTCCGAATGCACTGTAACTGCCGAGGTGGAATATTGAAAGTGGAACAATCCATTTTATGTCTTTATCTTCAGATTTGGCTTTTATTGACCATCTCACAGGATATGGAGCCTTGCTCTGAAGAGGGACTCAGTTAATCACATTGGGTCCCCTCTCCTGTAAAATTATTTGCTCTGAGGGAATAAACATTATTATAATAAAGAACTGAAGACTAAACATTTCAATAAACTTATTCAACTGTATTAAAACTATCACAACTGTAATGTAATTATTGTTTTAAGTACAGTATACTAATTTCTCAGGAATAAACTTTGTGTATTTTAATAAACAGAGTAAACTTTTATCATATGATTAATGTTTTAAGTACAATGTAACAAGCATTGTAAATACTAATGAAGTGTCCCTGGGTGGGATCGAACAATGTCTCAAAAAACGGCAGAAAAGGTCAAATAAGGTGTGCGGGCCTCAGATTTTTCACTTTATCACATAACCTATTCGGGAGGTTGCGGGTGTGTTATTAGCAATTGTGGGTGGGCGAACAAACATCTGACCCGCGCATCACTAGTTTGGAGGTTCATACCACAGAACTCAAGTAAAGCCATGGAAACCTAGCAAACTCCAATGACCTAGTGCCATCTTGCTTCTGACACCGATGTAGCAAATAAAAAAATGAGAGTAGCCTAGAACTCCTAGTACTTCTCGGCTTCCAAAGTCAGCCATGCTATTGTAACCAGTGAAATGTTGACTGATTAAAATACATTTTTGTAAGTCTGATTATTTTCTACGTTTTATTTGTTCTCCTGGAGTTTTTCTCTTCTAGTCTATCGCTCTGATTCTATTTCATGCTTTCCCTTTATTACCCAGAATTCCGTTCCAATCTCCTCCCTCTTTCCCTGGTCTGGTCTGAAGGGAAACAGACAGCCCAAACGGTAAGCGAAAATGTACATCTGTAATCATCGTTATAAATGTATGACTCTAATCCATAAAAAAACAACGTTATCCATTACATATTCAATCGAACTTTATATATGTTTCGTTATTGTTGCTGAACTTTGTAGATATGTGTCACTTATTGTTACAAGAAAAACAGGCACTGAAAATGTCGAATCAAAAGATGGTGACGTAGCCTAGTGTTATTCGACTCCGCTAGCTAACAGCTGAGGTCCGTCCAGTTATGGACACAGTGGAAGAGTGTGATGCTCATGTATGCCCACTGATCTAACGATATCTAACTAGGGAAAAGTTGGAAAACGGGTCGATTTAACAGTTTTCGGAGAAGATGTCTAGTAGTTGTACACTGTAGTTGAGTGACGTGGCTAACACACCACGTTGATCCAGTGCATCACAGTAGCGTCCAGTGCATCACGTTTGACACATTGTTACAAGTAGTACGAACCGAAGTGGGGAACGTTGTGTTCATTTGATGTTTAACATCTTAAAAAATTATGCAGGCACATCAGCCAATCAAGCATAGCAAATTAACTTCTGTAGTTTTCTTCATACTTGTAAAATCATCTCAATGCAGTGTATGTTGACTAGGCTAGCAAGCTAGCTACACTAAAGAAAAATATAAAAGCAACAGGTAAAGTGTTGGTCCCATGTTTTAATGAGCTTAAATAAAATATCCCTGAAATTTTCCATACCCACAAAAAGCTTATTTCTCTCAATTTGTGCACGAAATTGTTTACATTGCTGTTAGTGAGCATTTCTCCTTTGCCAAGATAATCCATCCACCTGACAGGTGTGGCATATCAAGATGCTGATTTAAACAGCATGATCATTACACAGGTCCACCTTGTGCTGGGGACAATAAAGGCCACTGAAATGTGCACTTTTGTCACACAACACAATGCCACAGATGTCTCAAGTTTTGAGGAAGTGTGCAATTGGCATGCTGACTGCAGGAATGTCCACCAGAGCTGTTGCCATAGAATTGAATGTTCATTTCTTTACCATAAGCTGCCTCCAACATCGTTTTAACTTGGCAGTACGTTCAACCGGCCTCAACTACAGACCACAGTAACCACGCCAGCCCAGGACCTCCAGATCTGGCTTCTTCACCAGCGGGATCGTCTTGAGACCAGACAGCTGATGAAACTGGGTTTGCACAACCAAAGAATTTCTGCACAAACTGTCAGAAACCGTTTCAGGGAAGCTCATCCGCGTGCTCGTCGTCCTCACCAGGGTCATGACCTGACTGCAGTTTGGAATCGTAACCGACTTCAGTGGGCAAATGCTCACTTCGGTGGCCACTGGCATGCTGGAGAAGTGTGCTCTTCACGGATGAATCCCGGTTTCAACTGTACTGGGCAGATGGCAGATGTGTGGGCGAGTGGTTTGTTGATGTCAACGTTGTGATCAGATTGCCCCATGGTGGTAGTGGGTTATGGTATGGGCAGGCATAAACTACTGACAACAAACACAATTGCATTTTATTAATGGCCATTTGAATGCTCAGAGATACCATGACGAGATCCTGAGGCCCGTTGTCGTGCCATTCATCCGCTGCCATCACCTCATGTTTCAGCATGATAATGCACGGCCCCATGTCGCAAGGATCTGTACACAATTCCTGGAAGCTGAAAATGTCCCAGTTCTTCCATGGCCTGCATATCCACCAGACATGTCACCCATTGAGCATGTGATGCTCTGGATTGACGTGTACGACAGTGCGTTCCAGTTCCTGCCAATATCCAGCAACTTCGCACAGCCATTGAATAGGAGTGGGACAACATTCCACAGGCCACAATCAACAGCCTGATCAACTATATGCGAAGGAGCTGTGTCGCGCTGCATGAGGCAAATGGTGGTCACACCAGATACTGACTAGTTTTCTGATCCACGCCCTTACCTTAAAAAACAAAAAGGGTTTCTGTGACCAACAGATGCATATCTGTATTCCCAGTCATGTGAAATCCGTAGATTAGGGCTTAATTTATTTATTTCAATTGACTGATGTCCTTATATGAACTGAAACTCTGTAAAATCGTAGAAATTGTTGCATGTTGCATTTATATTTTTTGTTCAGTACATATTGTTTGGCTGGATGACCTTGCGTCCAAGAGGATAGCCAACTAAACTCAACTATGTACTTCACATCAACGGAGTTTTGCGCCGACTAGTGTGAGTGGACTATAGATCCGATGTCACCCAATTTCAGCACCCAGACAATAGCAACAGGACAATTGCGTAATTGCGTGCTATTCTTTGGGTGCTGAAATCCGTAGTTTTTAAATAAAATTCATTTTTATGTCGGAGCTCCAGTCCGCCCACGCTCAACTCCATTGACGTGAAGTACAAAGTGTAGTTAAGTTTACTTGGCTACCAAGACCACAACCATTCGCAGTCATTTCATATAACCATATACCATTTAGTGGCACAGAAAGAAAAGAGGGAGGTTCATCAGGAGATGATCTCCTTAACCCTGTATTTTGTAATTGCTGGCAATTCTTATCATTAATACATCGAATGTTTTTAATTGTGCTCCGAAATTAAATATAAAATGTCATTATAGAGCCCTGAACAAGGTGGTTAAAGCCAGCTAATAAATGGCTGTAAATCCAATGGGAAAGATGAAGACTGCTTGTTCCTCCAGGCTACTGCTAACAGACTGCTTGTTCCTCCAGGCTACTGCTAACAGACTGCTTGTTCCTCCAGGCTACTGCTAACAGACTGCTTGTTCCTCCAGGCTACTGCTAACAGACTGCTTGTTCCTCCAGGCTACTGCTAACAGACTGCTTGTTCCTCCAGGCTACTGCTAACAGACTGCTTGTTCCTCCAGGCTACTGCTAACAGACTCGTTTTTTCTTTACCTCCAGGCAACATGGCAGCTCTCAGGCCTCTGAAAAGGCCCAAGATCGTCAAGAAGAGGGTGAAGAAGTTCATCAGACATCAGTCAGACCGTTATGTCAAAGTCAAGGTACGGTTCAGACCACAATAACCTTAATTAGAGCAACGGTATTTCAATCCTTGGCACGTGGATGTGTTAAACCAGGGTCGTATTCATTAGGGCGCACGGAAAACAAGTGTTTCTTCTTGGACAAGTTCATGTACTGTACTCCCTTCAGTATTCACGAACGGGTCTTTTTCCAATCAGATAATCTCTTGCCAATAATTGGGTAAAAGATCAGAATAGTGCTGTCTGTGTAAACGCAGCCTTGGTAACCATGGCTAGTGTATTTACAGGATACTGCCTTACTCTTTCTCAACTATCTTCTCCTTTGTAGCAAAACTGGCGTAAACCCCGTGGTATCGACAACAGGGTGCGGCGGCGCTTCAAGGGCCAGATGCTGATGCCCAACATCGGCTACGGTAGCAACAAGAAGACCAAACACATGCTGCCCTCCGGCTTCAGGAAGTTCCTGGTACACAACATCAGAGAGCTGGAGGTCCTCATGATGAGCAACAAGTAAGATCCGAACCACAGATGTCTGTTCCGTGAGGTGTGTTAGGTTCTGAACAAACAAGAGTTAAAAACTCACAGATGACTAGAAAAAGCTCAAACCAAGTTTATTCACCCCACTGGGTCATACAGCTGTCTTTATACCTTCCAACTAGGCGGAGTCACCTCCTTGCATGTCTTAAGATAACCAATCCATCTGTGGCGTTATAAGCAGAACCACAGTAGGTGCCTCTTACTGGTATTGTCATGGCCCTGCCTAACTCTAGGACCCTCATGGGAGTGAGTATGTATTTGTGAGATGTTCTTCGACGTGGCCCCCCCCCCCCTTCTAGCAGTATCTTCTCTCCAACTGTTGACCTCGAGTTGAGTTCCACATCCCTCATGGTCCCGGTTCCGCAGCCACTGGCTTGCCTTATCGAAATGGAATCAACCCTAACCCTGATGACAGTTGTTTCCAGAGAAATCACATTTTTTGCCCTCATGTCTATTACTATTACATTTATGTCCCCTTGACCTCCACAGGACCCATGCTGCAGAGATAGCCCACAATGTGTCGTCAAAGAACAGGAAGTTGATCGTGGAGAGGGCAGCTCAGCTTGCTATCAAGATCACCAACCCCAACGCCAGGCTACGCAGCGAGGAACACGAGTGATCTAGACCCACCTGTTATCTATTTATTGTTTGTTCAATAAATGATCTATACGTGTAGATAGTATTTACAGTCTTCTTTGCCAGTTCATCAATGCTTTACGGGGGGTGGGGGGCTTAATGCTAGTTTTACGTTTTACACACTAGAACTAAACTTTTTGTTTATTTGCGATGCATTAATTGGGAATACTGTATCAACATGACAGCCCTACAAAATGGCACTGGATACCACCGGCTTGTCCAGAAGGCACGTTTTCAACTATCAACTTCCAAGGCAGAATATGAATACATTTGACATTTTAGTCATTTAGCAGACTCTCTTATCCAGAGCGATTTACAGTTGGTGAGTGCATACATTTTTCATACTGGCCCCCTGTGGGAAACGAACCCACAACCCTGGCGTTGCAAGCGCCATGCTCTACCAACTGAGCTACAGGGGACCCTGTAGAATAATGTCTGAGGCAGTGAGTATGACCTAAGACAGCCATACAAAGGCATCTAGCCAAAATGTTGGGCACTGGCTTTGGTTTCTGTTAAACATTGTCATTTCATTTTAAAGAATAACTTAAAATTATTCTGGGGTGTTCCCTCCTGTCATTTAGTTTTAACTGGTGTCCATGCCTTCCACTGTGCTTAAAGATAAACTGGTTAATTCTAAATCAACCCAGATAAAAAGTGAGAATCCTGTGCACAAGTCAGATCTTTTCTAGTCTGTGGATTCTATTACAAGTGTTTTCGGACATCCAGATAAAAGTTCCAACCAAAACCACCTTTAATTATTTTCTGCTTGTGTGGACTGCCATGTCACCACTTACCTTCGTGGTGCAGGTTGCGCTGAGTGGCCTCTGGACCACAGTGTTGGGACACAGACAGGAGAGTCTGGCCAGCATGATGAATCAGCATCTGCAGGACATGCAGGAAGACTTATTAGAGAAATAAGACCATAAAGACGTTCTCTTCAAAGTTTCATAACAGCCTTCACCAAACAGCAGCTGATTTTTGGTTCTGGGGGCCGAGAATAAAACGACCTTTTCTGAGGGACAGCGTGGCCCTCCCCGAATCACCAGCAATTATTTTTTTTAATTTTTTTTGGTCATTTAGCAGACGCTCTTATCAGAGCGACTTACAGGAGCAATTTAGGGTTAAGTGCCTTGCTCAAGGGCACATCGACAGATTTTTCACCTAGTCGGCTCGGGGATTAGAACCAGCGACCTTTCGGTTACTGGCACAACGCTCTTACCCACTAAGCTACCTGCCGCCCTAGCAATGCACTGCTCTCATCGAAAAACCATTGAGTTAGTTGGCTGCGTTTTTTACGCTTAATTTGTCCAGTTTAGCAGTGCCCAAAAACACCAATACCGTGTTTTAGGGGCTGTAAAGTCCTTGAGGAAGTTAGTTTGCGGTGCTATAATGTTTGCGTGCAGTCTTAATCTGATGTCGTAGTGGTCTTTCAGGTCTTCTATGTGGTTGAGGAACTCGGAAGATGTCAAGGCAGTCCAGTCCACTGTCCAGCAGTGTGTACATGCACTCAAACAATTCCCTCACGTCCAGACCGTCATCCACTATGTTCCTAAACGAACCCATCTCAACGTGAGATAGGCAGAGCTCATTTTACAGACGCTCTTATTCAGTGCGACTTACAGGAGCAATCAGGGTTAAGTGCCTTGCTCAAAGGCACGTCGCCAGATTTTTCACCTAGTCGGCTCAAGGATTCGAACCAGCAACCTTTCAGTGACTGGCCCAACGCTCTTACCCACTAGGCTACATCATGTTACTATCCTTGCAGATGAGAGTTGTTTAGATGCATAGAAATATTCCACTCGACACATAAAGGGCTGGTTTCCCAGTCAGATATTAAACCTAGGACTTTCTCCATTGAAAGTACTTTTTAGTCCAGCTCTAGTGAAAACCTAGGGAAACCAGCCCATGAGTTTTTTAGAATATCTCTCTAATGAGCTCTTTCCAGATATGTGTTTCATTATAGAGGATAGGGAGGACTGAGGCTAGCAGGCCGCGGATCAGAGAAGGTTTGTTGTGGGCAGCAGAGTTAAACATCACGCAACGGACGTTCGGGGTCTTTGTCCTGCAGAGTCTTCAGGAAGTCGCCTGGCATAGAGAACAGGGTCGTGTTTATTACACACCAAATGGAAGAAAAGCAGACTGATTCATTAGAGCAACGTTTCCAATTGCTCTAATGAATACAACCCTGGATATGTTAACTGCGTGTGCATTTCAAGTGACACCCTGTTCTTCATAGGATGCACTATTTTTAACCAGATGTGGCTTTGGCTCAAAGTAGTGCACTATACGGAACAAGGCTGTCATTTCACTTTTATTCATTTGTTATTTTAAGCATCCCTTGAGCAATAAATCTATGGGCACAGGCTGATCAACAATGGTGAACTTAACAGTAGTGACCACAGTAATGTGGGTCATAGGAGACCCTGAAGACAGCTGTTGTTTGAGCTTGGGCAGGAGCTGAGCCGGGTTGACCATGGTGAGTTTCCCCAGACACTCCGCCACCACATTCCTTGTCCCCTCTGCACACTCACTGTTCTTAAAGATCAGAGCCCAGATATCCTCGACGTGGGCCAACAAGCTCTCTGCCGAGCAGGCGCTGATCACCTCTTTGAGGCTGTGTAACAGCAGGTACATTTACATTTACGTCATTTAGCAGACACTCTTATCCAGAGCACTTTTCCAGAGGTACCTTCTCTTAGGCTGGCTACCGATCTCCTTCAGCATAAAGGGAAGGTACTCCTCCAGGTTGCCCACACAGATGTTCCCCAGAGCACCCTCGTTGGGAGAGGAGAAGGCCTCCAGGGTCACGGTCTTTAGCTCCTTCTGACTCCCCAGGTTGATGGTACGCCCCACCTCCCCCAGACAGAGGAAAGACTTGAGGTTCTTCACTTCCTGGATGAAGGAGGTGACCATTCCGGAAGCTTCTTTAGGGCACACGGAGGAGAGAGTAGCCACACACCTGGCCAAACATGAGAAAGAGAAAATAAAATATAGAAAGCATATTTAGTGTTACTTTAACAAATCAACCAATCCAATGAATGAATTAATCAATCAATCAAACTACAACTAACCTCCCGAGTGGTTCGAATCCAGGCTCTGTCGTAGCCGGCCGCGACCGGGAGACCCATGGGGCGGCGCACAATTCGTCCAGGGTAGGGGAGGGAATGGCCGGCAGGGATGTAGCTCAGTTGGTAGAGCATGGCTTTTGCAATGCCAGGGTTGTGGGTTTGATTCCCACGGGGGGCCAGTATGAAAAAAATTAAATAATGTATGCACTAAATATAAGTGACTCTGGATAAGAGCGTCTGCTAAATGACGTAAATGTAACTACCTGGTCACAGAGTAGTAGGACTGTCTGTGCATGGGTGTGGGGTCTGCAGCCTTCTCCAAGCTCTGAAAGGGGCCCGTTGTATCCCATGTTCCCAGCCTTGGTGACCACCAGCGCTTGGAAGAACTTGAGGATGGTGAAGAGAGACCCTCCTTGGAGCAACGGGGAATTAACCAGATGAAACACACCAGGTAGGAGCCCAGGATGGGGATTCCCTCAGTAAGTAAAGGTCGGAGGTCAATCCTAAGGGGTGACGCGGCGATGAGAGTCAAGGTCTTCACTGCTGTCAACCGGAGAGGAGAGTACGGGAGGAGAGTACAGAAGAGAATATACTTTGTCACAGAGATACTGTTGGAGGAATGGAGCAGTTTAGGGGTCAAGGGCACAACAGCAGAAGATGGTACCTTGGATACTGATGGTCCGCCTCTCTACCCTGCCTACCTGGTGATCTCGTTCTTCAGCCTCTCCAGGAAGATCTGCTGGGTTGGCTGGAGGTCCCCACCCAGCTGGTCTCCTAGGTGACATATGACGTGACCCATACAGGAAATGGCCCTCTCCTTCACTTCCTGGTCTATGTCTGCAGCCTTCGTCCTCTTCAGGGTCCCAGCGAACAAGTCCTTCACGTAGGGCTTGACGTCGAACGTAGAGGCAGATAGTTTGTCTAGAATAGAAGATAATAGATACTTTATTGTCCATTTGGCTATAACAGAAATCCGGAAAACACGTTGAGAGGCACAGGGTCAGACACGGTGCAGCTTCCTTGGATGGAGAGCTATTTTAGGGGTTAAGTGCCTTGCTCAAGGGCACCATGGTAGTGTCAGTAATGATCTGACACCAGTAGCTATCCAGTTGCCAATTCAGTCTCCACTTTTTCATCGCCCGGCCCGGGACTTGAACCACAACCTTTATTTTCCTGGTCCACCTCTCTAACCTCTGACAGCCTAATGGGCGTATCATCTGCTGAGTGACCAGTATGGCCTCGAGGTGATCTTATAGAAGGGGTCCTCCACACTGCACCAACGGGGGGGCAGAATAACCTTAATGTGAGGGTGGAAGACGTCAGGAGGGTGGCTGCACAGGAGGACATAGAGGAAAGAGAGGGCGTTGATCTTCATGTTGGACGAGGTAGACTTGTCTGTGAGTAAACGATACCTGAAGAGAGAAGATTAATATGAATGTCAAGTTGACTTCTTGGCATTGTACCAATAGCCATTGTAACACTATTTCCTTTTAAGTTACTGTAGGTAACTATCTAGGGACAGGAAATAGTCCTGAGTAAGTACAGAGAAGAAATTAACAATTTTTGTAGCCTATCACTACAGTAGGCCCAGAGTTTTTCTAGGTCACGTTATGGAAAAACTACTGGCCCAAAAAATAAACAAAGGAATGTAGTAAATGAACATGTAAGTGAAGTTACCAGAGGTGAGAGCTGGTGTGTGTCCCCCCAGGGCTCCTGGCTGGTGTGTGTTCCCCCAGGGCTCCTGGCTGGTGTGTGTGTCCCCAGGGCTCCTGGCAGTATGTTGGCCAGATCTGTCAGCAGACAGAAACAGCCCTGTCTAGACTTCATGCTCTTCTCTTTCAGCTGCTCGTGGAGAGCCTTCACTACTGTGGGGACCTGCTGGGAAACAACAAACAAACAAAGCATTGAAAATCCCACCACTGAGGGAAAGCTCAGATAAAACGTACTGAAATATGTCCTCGCAGTTAAGTAAGCATTGTGATACAGTATTGCTTTTACTGCATGCCCGGCTGTTGTCTTGGATTAGGACTCACTTTTAAAAGGCATTTTATCTCAATGAGACTAGCCTGGATTAATAATGGTTAAACAACAACAACAAACTACTTGTTTCCTAAGCAGAGTGATAACTGGGTCTTCTTAAGCAGAGGGATAGCTGGGTCTTCTTAAGCAGAGTGAGAGCTGGGTCTTCTTAAGCAGAGGGATAGCTGGGTCTTCTTAAGCAGAGGGATAGCTGGGTCTTCTTAAGCAGAGTGATAACTGGGTCTTCTTAAGCAGAGTGAGAGCTGGGTCTTCTTAAGCAGAGTGATAACTGGGTCTTCTTAAGCAGAGTGAGAGCTGGGTCTTCTTAAGCAGAGGGATAGCTGGGTCTTCTTAAGCAGAGTGATAACTGGGTCTTCTTAAGCAGAGTGATAACTGGGTCTTCTTAAGCAGAGTGATAACTGGGTCTTCTTAAGCAGAGTGATAACTGGGTCTTCTTTGCCTCCGGTTTCTGCTGCTGTGATGAGTCCCTCAGAGGGCCTGGTCTGCTTGAGCAAAGCCACAAAAGCTACAAATATATCCGTCTTGAAGTTCTCCCTCTGTTTAAACTGAGCCAGCAGGGCTGGAGCCACTGGACCATACAGCTCTACTAGCAGGTCTCTCCTGGTGCTGATCACAGCCTCCAGACACTTAACAGATGACCTCCGCACCTTCCAGCTCATGTCGTCACTGTACTCGTCATCAGACTCTACAGGGGGCAGGGCAGTGTTGAAAAGCTAAAAACTTTGCAAAGCACATTCGAACTCCTACACAACGGTGGCAGCTTAGTTGCATATTTTTTTACATTGCACATTTTAACAGTGTACAGTACCAATTAAATAAACATGGTGATGTATGTCACTGTTTTACAAAGTTGCAACCACTGAGTAAAATGTGGCGTTGCAACTGTATATATTTGGAAATAAAGACATTCAAAATAACACCATGGTCCTCATCCTCTCTGGCCTCTGTGTCCATGGACTCATCCCAGTTCTCATCCACTTCATAGTTGTACAGTTGTGGTCAAAAGTTTTGAGAATGACACAAGTATTGGTCTTCACAAAGTTTGCTGCTTCAGTGTTTTTAGATATTTTTGTCAGATGTTACTATGGTATACTGAAGTATAATTACAAGCATTCCATAAGTGTCAAAGGCTTTTATTGACAATTACATTAAGTTTATGCAAAGAGTCAATATTTGCAGTGTTGACCCTTCTTTTTCAAGACCTCTGCAATCCGCCCTGGCATGCTGTCAATTAACTTCTGGGCCACATCCTGACTGATGGCCGCCCATTCTTGCATAATCAATGCTTGGAGTTTGTCCAGAATTTGTGGGTTTTTGTTTGTCCACCCGCCTCTTGAGGATTGACCACAAGTTCTCAATGTGATTAAGGTCTGGGGAGTTTCATGGCCATGGACCCAAAATGTTGATGTTTTGTTCCCTGAGCCACTTAGTTATCACTTTTGCCTTATGGCAAGGTGTTCCATCATGCTGGAAAAGGCATTGTTCATCACCAAACTGTTCTTGGATGGTTGGGAGAAGTTGCTCTCGGAGGATGTGTTGGTACCATTCTTTATTCATGGCTGTGTTCTTAGGCAAAATTGTGAGTGAGCCCACTCCCTTGGTTGAGAAGCAACCCCACACATGAATGGTCTCAGGATGCTTTACTGTTGGCATGACACAGTACTGACGGTAGTGCTCACCTTGTCTTCTCTGGACAAGCTTTTTTCCGGATGCCCCAAACAATCGGAAAGGGGATTCATCAGAAAAAATGACTTTACCCCAGTCCTCAGCAGTCCAATCCCTGCACCTTTTGCAGAATATCAGTCTGTCCCTGATGTTTTTCCTGGAGAGAAGTGGCTTCCTCGCTGCCCTTCTTGACACCAGGCCATCCTCCAAAAGTCTTCGCCTCACTGTGCGTGCAGATGCACTCACACCTGCCTGCTGCCATTCCTGAGCAAGCTCTGCACTGGTGGTGCCCCGATCCCGCAGCTGAATCAACTTTAGGAGATGGTCCTGGCGCTTGCTGGACTTTCTTGGGCGCCCTGACGCCTTCTTCACAACAATTGAACCTCTCTCCTTGAAGTGCTTGATGATCCGATAAATGGTTGATTTAGGTGCAATCTTACTAGCAGCAATATCCTTGCCTGTGAAGCCCTTTTTGTGCAAAGCAATGATGACGGCACATTTCCTTGCAGGTAACCATGGTTAACAGAGGAAGACCAATGATTTCAAGCACCACCCTCCTTTTAAAGCTTCCAGTTTGTTATTCTAACTCAATCAGCATGACAGAGTGATCTCCAGCCTTGTCCTCGTCAACACTCTCACCTGTGTTAACGAGAGAATCACTGACATGATGTCAGCTGGTCCTGATGTGGCAGGGCTGAAATGCAGTGGAAATGTTTTTTGGGGATTAAGTTCATTTTCATGGCAAAGAGGGACTTTGCAATTAACTGATCACTCTTCATAACATTCTGGAGTATATACAAATTGCCATCATAAAAACTGAGGCAGCAGACTTTGTGAAAATTAATATTTGTGTCATTCTCAAAACTTTTGACCACGACTGTAGTTGGGCTCATAGGTGATGTATCTCAGACGCAGCTTGATCACCGTGGGGATATGAGGGGACATCTCATTAGGGCATCTATTATTAAAAAACAACAGGTAAGGTGTAAAACATAGTAGTTATAGGTCTGTAGTTATAGGGCTGTAGTTATGGGGCTGTAGTTCAATTGTGTCTAATCTCAGCAACCCAGAACCAAATCTCACGTGAGTGCGGGCCTCTGGTCAATTAGTAATGGGTGAAATCATAAGACAGAGAGTGATCGAAAGAGATATCGAGAGAGACATCGAAAGAGATATCGAGAGAGACACAGAGATCGAGAGAGAGAGAGAGAGAGAGACAGAGAGACATTCACTAGAGAGTTTTACCTGCAGTCAAAGCTTGAAAGGCCTGGAAGCAGTACTCCCTGAGTTCATCATCCTCCACACTGCAGAACTTCACCACCATTGGGATGGTCTTCTCTCGGTGCTCACCTGCAACAAGAGATGTCCAACAATTGACCCAGAGGCAACTACATATACTGAACAAAAAAATAAACGCAACATGCAACAATTTCAAAGATATCCTCATATGAGGAAATCAGTCAATTGAAATAAATCCATTAGGCCCTAATCTATGGATTTCACATGACTGTGAATACAGATATGTATCTGTTGGTCACAGATCCCTTTAAAAAAATGACCTCACAATGGGCCTCAGGATCTCGTTAGGGTATTTCTGTGTATTCAAATTGCCATCGATAAAATGCAATTGTGTTCATTGTCTTTAGCTTATGCCTGCCCATACCATAACCCCACACCACCATGGGGCACTCTGTTCACAACGTTGACATCAGCAAACTGCTCGCCCACACGGCGCCATACACGTGGTCTGCGGTTGTGAGGCTGGTTGGAGGTACTGCCAAATTCTCTGATGCGGCTTATGGTAGAGAAATTAACATTCAATTATCTGGCAACAGCTCTGATGGACATTCCTGCAGTCAGCATGCCAATTGCATGCTCCCTCAAAACTTGAGACATCTGTGGCATTGTGTTGTGTGGCAAAACTATTTTAGAGTGGCCTTTTATTGTCCCCAGCACAAGGTGCACCTTTGTAATGATCACGCTGTTTAATCAGCTTCTTGATACGCCACACCTGTCAAGTGGATGGATTATCTTGGTAAAGGAGAAATGCTCACTAATAGGGAGGTAAACAAATGTGTGGACAAAATCTGAGAGAAATAAGCTTTTGTGCGTATGGAACATTTCTGGGATCTTTTATTTCAGCTCATTAAAACATGGGACCAAAACTTTACATGTTGCTTTTATATTTTTGTTCAGTGTAATACTCTTGATATATGGCTATGGATTGACCTATATAATTCTGCCCTCTGCTGGTGCAATTTCATATAACAGGTTGGGAGAGAAAGGAGGGAGGACGAAAGGAGAGTTGAAAGTGGATTTCAAGAACTTGGACGTAGCCTAATATAAAATTACAAAGAGGAAAACCATTGAACAGACAAACACCACCCCACCTAGCTAAGGCTACGTTAGACGAACACCACCCCACCTAGCTAAGGCTACGATGCCCTTACCAACTAGATGCCCTCACCCTCTAGATGCCCTCACCAACTAGATGCCTTCACCATCTAGATGCCCTCACCGTCTAGAGCCCTCACCGTCTAGATGCCCTCACCATCTAGAGCCCTCACCGTCTAGAGCCCTCACCGTCTAGAGCCCTCACCGTCTAGATGCCCTCACCGTCTAGAGCCCTCACCGTCTAGAGCCCTCACCGTCTAGATGCCCTCACCGTCTAGATGCCCTCACCGTCTAGAGCCCTCACCAACTAGATGCCCTCACCGTCTAGATGCCCTCACCGTCTAGAGCCCTCACCGTCTAGAGCCCTCACCGTCTAGATGCCCTCACCGTCTAGATGCCCTCACCGTCTAGAGCCCTCACCAACTAGATGCCCTCACCAACTAGATGCCCTCACCAACTAGATGCCCTCACCGTCTAGATGCCCTCACCAACTAGATGCCCTCACTGTCTAGATGCCCTCACCGTCTAGATGCCCTCACCGTCTAGATGCCCTCACCGTCTAGATGCCCTCACCGTCTAGAGCCCTCACCAACTAGATGCCCTCACCGTCTAGATGCCCTCACCAACTAGATGCCCTCACTGTCTAGATGCCCTCACTGTCTAGATGCCCTCACCGTCTAGATGCCTTCACCGTCTAGATGCCCTCACCAACTAGATGCCCTCACCGTCTAGAGCCCTCACCGTCTAGATGCCCTCACCGTCTAGAGCCCTCACCAACTAGATGCCCTCACCGTCTAGATGCCCTCACCCTCTAGATGCCCTCACCGTCTAGATGCCCTCACCAACTAGATTCCCTCACCATCTAGATGCCCTCACCAACTAGATGCCCTCACCGTCTAGAGCCCTCACCGTCTAGATGCCCTCACCGTCTAGATGCCCTCACCGTCTAGAGCCCTCACCAAATAGATGCCCTCACCGTCTAGATGCCCTCACCAACTAGATGCCCTCACCGTCTAGATGCCCTCACCGTCTATAGCCCTCACCAACTAGATGCCCTCACCGTCTAGATGCCCTCACCAAATAGATGCCCTCACCGTCTAGATGCCCTCACCAACTAGATGCCCTCACCAACTAGATGCCCTCACCGTCTAGATGCCCTCACCGTCTAGATGCCCTCACCGTCTAGATGCCCTCACCAACTAGATGCCCTCACCGTCTAGATGCCCTCATCGTCTAGATGCCCTCACGACTAGATGCCCTCACCGTCTAGATGCCCTCACGACTAGATGCCTACCCTGGTGGCTGACGGTGGCCAGACACTGGATGTAGGTACGTGTGGAGAGGTCTGCTGTCCCCGGCCCAGCTAAGCCAGCAGATGCTCAGTGAGCTGGATGAAGAGGGCCGTGCTGCAGCTGGGCACCAGGTGACCAGGGGCCATGATAGCCCTCTTCCTCACAGCCATACGGGGGCTGGTCAGCTGGGGGAGCAGGCTGGTCAGGATGGAGGCATGGAAGCTGATCAACGTACCACTCAACCTATCGGGAAGAACAGAGAGGGTGCAGGATCAGATATTAGTCAAGAACATTATGTAACATTCTTTCAAATATCTGAGCTGTGCTTGATTTGGCTAGTTTCCAAGTACAATGGAACCAATGGCATAGACCAATGGATAAGAGCGAGAATCTAAATGACAAAAAATGTAAAAATGGATCCCAACCTTAAATAGTGATATCTATTTGGCCCATGTCTGTCCAGGATAAATACAGGTCATTATGGAGTCTTCTGCTTAAAAGGCATGTCTATAACACTAGGAAAGCAGTAGTAACCTTCCAAACATGTCCAACAGGATGTCCAGAGCCTCCAGCTGAACAGGAACATCCTCCTGTTTCCCCATGGCTCCTATCAGCTGAGCTGTGATCTTCTTACATACATTGGCAGTCAGGCTCAGACCTGGTAACACATTGCAAAACAGGCATCCTAACACTCTATAGTTTTCTGCGTCCAGATTCTCTACCCTTCTTCTGAAGTATGCACTTGTCTTGTACACTCCCTGTCATGGATTTAACAATGGTGGACACTACCTCCAGTCATTGCTTACACCAATCCAATGCTTCAGACGGTTAACTGACAGAATATAGTACACTCTCAATGGCCAGTTTCCAACCATTCTGTAGTGTAGCTTGTGCAAAAAAGGTAGAGAAAGAGACCCGTACCTGCAGAGCATGGGGTCAGGTAGAGAAAGAGACCCGTACCTGCAGAGCATGGGGTCAGGTACAGATCGAGACCCGTACCTGCGGAGCATGGGGTCAGGTAGAGAAAGAGACCCGTACCTGCGGAGCATGGGGTCAGGTAGAGAAAGAGACCCGTACCTGCAGAGCATGGGGTCAGGTAGAGAAAGAGACCCGTACCTGCAGAGCATGGGGTCAGGTAGAGAAAGAGACCCGTACCTGCAGAGCATGGGGTCAGGTAGAGAAAGAGACCCGTACCTGCAGAGCATGGGGTCAGGTAGAGAAAGAGACCCGTACCTGCAGAGCATGGGGTCAGGTAGAGAAAGAGACCCGTACCTGCGGAGCATGGGGTCAGGTAGAGAAAGAGACCCGTACCTGCGGAGCATGGGGTCAGGTAGAGAAAGAGACCCGTACCTGCGGAGCATGGGGTCAGGTAGAGAAAGAGACCCGTACCTGCAGAGCATGGGGTCAGGTAGAGAAAGAGACCCGTACCTGCAGAGCATGGGGTCAGGTAGAGAAAGAGACCCGTACCTGCAGAGCATGGGGTCAGGTAGAGAAAGAGACCCGTACCTGCAGAGCATGGGGTCAGGTAGAGAAAGAGACCCGTACCTGCAGAGCATGGGGTCAGGTAGAGAAAGAGACCCGTACCTGCAGAGCATGGGGTCAGGTAGAGAAAGAGACACGTACCTGCAGAGCATGGGGTCAGGTAGAGAAAGAGACCCGTACCTGCAGAGCATGGGGTCAGGTAGAGAAAGAGACCCGTACCTGCAGAGCATGGGGTCAGGTAGAGAAAGAGACACGTACCTGCGGAGCATGGGGTCAGGTAGAGAAAGAGACCCGTACCTGCGGAGCATGGGGTCAGGTAGAGAAAGAGACCCGTACCTGCGGTTAGTACTTATTCTATTTTTCTATTTTCTCATATGACGTTATTTAAACTGTCAGTATTATGATCATTGTAATTTTTAAGTCATTTAACCACAACAATTATTTTCTTCACTGAAAGTTGATTTACATGTATTTTTATGATCATAACCTTGACATTAATATGGCTTCATTGTCTTAGATTATTGTTATGGCCTACACACACTAAAGCATAGTCTATCATTCCTAATAGGTGAGAAAGGTTATAGACTACTTTTAAAGACACTAATAAATTCTCATAAAAGTAGGCAAACATACTTAGTGGCCGACACAGAAAAAAATGACAGTCATTGTTGCTACATTATTACTGTGTCATTCCACACTCAAACTTGCATTGCAAAGCAGTCTGCTTTCTTACAGAAAGTATTTTGTCAGTATATGTCATTTTCTCCAATAGATTGGAGATGTGGTACAATACTACATTCAACATCTTGACTACCAGTTACAGTCAATTTAAATATGATCAAAGTTATGGATAAAAACGTTGAAATAGTGGAGCAGAAGTTTTAGCTGGAGAAAATGGCTAGAGAGGGTGGCAATAGTGACAAACTAACTTAGGCCAAGAACAAACTGGGAAACATTACACTTGCAGGGTGCTTTAGAAATATGCACCACTGTGTTATGAGTAAAATTAATTTGCCATTTCTACTGCCACCAGGTGGAACTAATGCTCAACGTATAGGAACTTTTATTTCGCGGGACTATTTGTAAGCGCAATGCTTGTTTCAACCGGAACCTTGGCGCACGCACACGGAAGTTGTTTTTTCAGTGATTGTAAAGTTGTTGCCACGTCGGTTCAGAAAAACGTTCTTGATACATCGTAAAACCGAGATACATTGATAATAGAGTTACACGTCTGGCAGTGCATTTCTCTGTTTAGGGACAAACTCATTACGATAATCTTCAATCATGGCGAGTAACGTAATTTCTGGTATTTCTGACTGCAGTTGTTAGCTAATTAGCCGGTTAGCAAGGTAACTGTTAACGTTAGATAGCTAACGCTAGCTTGTCAAGTTGCTAAGCTCCACAAGTGTATTTTTTATAAAGTTAAACTTATTGTTTACTACTAAATAGACCGTTAAGTATACGGTAATATATGTTACAAAATCTTGTAATGCTGTTTTATGCAGTAACGGTATCTCTGCGATTAGTTCACCAAGCTTCTATCTAGCTAGTTAAGTAGCTAACTAACGTTGATAGCTAGTTTGTGTAACTAGCAAAGTTAGATTTAGCTAACTAACGGAACGTTATTATTTTAGACTGGCGTTCTTTCAAATAATCTCTCACTTCTTGTGTTTGTGTTTCATTAAATATAGGTTTCTGTCATCAACACGGTGGACACCTCCCACGAGGACATGATCGTAAGTAACGTTAAAGTTTTGTTATGTGACAGCTACTAGCTAACGTATGTTATCATTCAACCAGCTGTAGCAAACTGAATGTACTTTATTTATCCCCGATCTAATCTAATCTTAGTAGCTAACTCACTCTACTTTGACTAATCTAACATAATAATTGCAACCTTTGACCTCTTCTTATGACATGCTCTGTTGTGTCATATGATGTCCTGTTGCGTCTTCAGCATGATGCCCAGATGGATTACTATGGCACCAGACTGGCCACCTGCTCTTCTGACAGGTCTGTCAAGATCTTCGATGTTAAAAACGGAGGACAAATCCTAGTGGCGGACCTGAGAGGGTAAGACGTGACTCTGCTTGATTAGGGGTCGACTCAGCGAAAGGAAATTGCCTACGAGCAGCACCGCAGATATTGCAATGAGCGAGATGCAATACTTATTTTCCAGCACACACAGAGTGAACTGTCATGTCCCTGTTTCATCTCCTCTCTCCATTACCTGTGAAGTGCTGTATCCAGATATCTCTGCCTCTATCTCCCCTCTCTGCAGCCATGAGGGTCCTGTGTGGCAGGTGGCCTGGGCTCACCCCATGTATGGCAACATCCTGGCCTCATGTTCCTATGACAGGAAGGTGATCATATGGAAGGAAGAGAACGGAACCTGGGACAAGATGTACGAGTACACTGGACACGACTCTTCAGGTAAGAACATTCCCGGTAAATAACTCACAAATGTATTCAATTCATATTTTACGTAATTTAGCAGACACTCTTATCCAGAGCGACTTACAGTACATTGAGTGCATACATTTTTGTATATGGTTAGAATATTTTCAATGATCTTATTGAAAATATTCAAACCGAGTTCTTCAATCCTTGTGGGTGCTTGGGAACCCACAGGGTATGCAATGTGTTGTTCAATTTCACTTTCGATCAAACCCTATTCAAGACCAGGGATGAATAACACTGCCATTAAGCATTGTCAGAAGCTCTCTGTGTTTTTAGTGTATATTAATGAGTACTTCCTGTCTTCCTTCTTGTGTTTCCAGTGAATTCAGTGTGCTGGGGTCCCTATGACTTTGGTCTGATCCTGGCCTGTGGCAGCTCAGACGGTGCCATCTCATTGGTCACCTGCTCTGGGGATCAACAGTGGGACATTAAGAAGATCAGCAATGCACACACAGTGAGTAACCTCCTGAGTGGCGCAGTGGTCTAAGGCACTGCATCGCAGTGCTAGCTGTGCCACTAGAGATCCTGGTTCGAATCTGTCGTAGCCAGCCGCGACCGGGAGACCCATGGGGCGGCGCACAATTGGCCCAGCGTCGTCCAGGGTAGACACTAAGTATTTTCTCTAGGGCTGGGTTAATATGAATAAACCTAAAGTGTAAAATGTCAGTTGTGACTGTCCTGCTGGTTATCATAGTCCTAATTGAGTTCATATGAATTCATTTCCTTGGTCTGGACATGTCAGTATGTGACTGTGTGTTGTAACCCCTCTGTCCTGTTAGATCGGCTGTAACGCAGTGAGCTGGGCTCCAGCAGTGGTGCCAGGTAGTCTGATAGACCAGCCGTCGGGTCAGAAACCCAACTACATCAAGAGGTTTGTCTCAGGAGGCTGCGACAACCTGGTCAAGCTCTGGAAGTAAGTAGCGGATGATTGGAGGGTGTCTTATCTTCTCTGTTATTGAAATGCTTCTGTTTTATTTACAACACAGCTACAGCTCCTTCAGAAAGTATTCATACCCATTGACTTATTCCATATTTTGTTGTTACAGCCTGAATTCCAATCAAATCAAATTTGATTGGTCACATGCGCCGAATACAACAGGTGCAGACATTACAGTGAAATGCTTACTTACAGCCCTTAACCAACAGTGCATTTATTTTTAACAAAAAAAAGGAAAAATAAAACAACAACAACAAAAAGTGTTGAGAAAAAAAAGAGCAGAAGTAAAATAAAATAACAGTAGGGAGGCTATATATATATACAGGGGGGTACCGTTGCAGAGTCAATGTGCGGGGGCACCGGCCATCTACATACATACTCCATAATGACAAAGTGAGAACATGTATTTAGAATGTATAGAAAATAAAATACAGAAATATCTCTTTTACATAAGTATTCAAACCCCTGAGTCAATACTTTGTAGTATCTCCTTTGGCAGCGATTACAGCTTTGAGTCGTCTTGCGTATGTCTGTATCAGCTTTGTTAAGTTAGATGGGGAGCGGCAGTAAACAGCAATCTTCAAGTCTTTCCACAGATTTTCAATGGGATTCAAGTCTGGGTTTTGGCTGGGCCACTCAAGGACTTTCACATTCTTGTTCTGAAGCCATTACAGTGTTGCTTTGGCTGTATGCTTGGGGTCATTGTCCTGTTGGAACGTAAATCACCCGTCTAAGGATGTTTGCGCTCGGAAGCAGGTACTCATCAAGGATTTGTCTGTATTTGTCTCCATTCATTGTTCCCTCTATCCTTACCAGTCTCCCAGTCCCTGCAGCTGAAAAGCATCCCCATAGCATGATGCTGCCACCACCATGCTTCACTGTAGGGATGTTGTTAGATGGGTGATGAGCTGTGCCTGGTTTTCTCCAGATATAGCTCTTTGCATTCAGGCCAAAGAGTTAAAAAAAATTATCATCAGACTACAGAATATTTTGCCTTATGCTCTCTTTCACGTGCCTTTTTGCAAACTCCAGGCGTGCTGTCATATGTGCCTTTTTCTCAGGATTGGCTTCCGCATGGCCACTCTCCCATAGATTGGTGAAGTGCTGTAGAGACTGTTGTCCTTCTGGCAGGTTCTCCCATTCCAGCCAAGGTTCTTGGTCACGTCTTTCCTGCTCAGTTTGGTCGGATGGCCAGCTCTAGGCACAGTCTGGGGTAGTTCCATATTTTCCCCAATGATGGAGACCACTGTGCTCTTGGAAACGTTCTACACGCTCAGATTGTTTTATACCCTTCCCCAGATATATGCCTCATCACAATTCTATCTCGGAGATCTACGGACAGTTCCTTGGACTTCATGGTATAGTTTCTGCTCTGACATGCACTGTCAACTGTGGGACCTTATATAGACAGGCGTGTTTCTTTCTAAATCATGTCCAAACAATTGAATTGGCCACAGGTGGACTCCAATCAAGTTGTAGTGACGTCTCAAGGATGATTAAAGGAAATTGGATGCACCTGAGCTCAATTTGGAATGTCATAGCAAAGGGGTGTGAATACTTATGTAAATTAGATTTCAGTATTTCATTTTCAATAAATGTGCAAACATTTCTAAAAACATGTTTTCACTTTGTCATTATGTGGTATTTTGTGTAGATGGGAGAGAACTCAAAATGTGAAATAAGTCAAGGGGTATGAATACATTCTGAAGGCACTGTATAGTTCCATGAAATCACTCAAATCTTTACAATTTACTTACTTGCATTAACATCAATTCTCTTGTAATAACAACATGATGATATAGTTATAACAGCGTGAACAACTTTATGTAAGGTGTTACCAAATAGGTTCCGATGGCAAGTGAGGAGTTTGAATAAAATGGTTGACAGACAGGTTTGTGTGTCTTCTTTCTTAGAGAGGAGGATGGCCAATGGAAGGAGGACCAGAAGCTGGAGGCTCACAGTGATTGGGTCAGAGATGTAGGCTGGGCTCCCTCCATAGGACTACCCACCAGCACCATTGCCAGCTGCTCTCAGGTAACCTACTGTCAGTAAAAAAAACATTGTATGGCTGGTACAGATGTAGGATCTTTATTTGATCACCCTGTTACAGGATAACTTTCCTGTAGTGTATTTGAGGTTTAAAAAGGCTTCTGAAGTTTGTAATTTCCACTTTAACATTTCAGACTTCATTTTCCCTTACCAAAAATGTATCAACCCATGAATTATAATCCACATAATAATTCACATTTTCTGTTGCTGCAGGATTATCTTCCTGCTTTAGCAAACTGGCTCAAATTAAGATGTGATTGTATTAGAATCCCAATTAGCTGTTGAACAAGCAGCAGCACGGTCGTTCCACTAAAATTATATTTTAAGTAGAAATTATGCACCAATATTGAATTTTAAAAGCCTGATATATTAAATGAAGTGCACTTTAATATAGACCACACTGAGAATTCAATAAATCAATTTTTTTAATATGAATAAAGGCTTGTTAAAATGCTAAACTTCTGCATTTTGACATGTCCCTCCGTCAACCCTGTGTCACTTCTAGGAAGATTTTAACCCACTTAATCCAAAAACGTCTCAAAGTTTCACCATCATTGTAAAGGCCTAGTTATTTTGCTGCTTTGACAGTTATTTCTGACGATGATTATTTATATTCATGTGATTAGCCTTTATGTGTGTCCCTCATTCTAATGCCAACCTTGTTAAAATGGTTACTCCTTTAAAACAATGGACCATTCCATTGTTTGGTTAACCCAAACAATTTACCCCTTTTAAAAACATTGGACCATTCCACCAAATTAAATGATTTACAGCATTGTTTGGGTCCTCTGAACAGCGGTGGAAAAGGAAGTAAGTCTTCTCTCTCTTTTTGGTCTATTTATAATTGTTTTATCAGTTAATATTAGGAAAACTTGAATTTGATTTAACTATCGTTATGTGTGGAACATATGTATAATTCCTAATTTAATGAACAGCGTGTGGTCCCATGCTCTGCACCACATGAGGAGTAATGGCTGATCTTCACCTAAAAACTCAACCCTGTTATCGTCAACCCTGTTAGAGGCCCAACTAACTTTATCAGTTTGATATTACGTTTATTTGTACAAGGGATACTTGATCAATGAGGAAATGTTGGGTTTATCTCAAACATGTTTTTATTTAATACTTAGTAAACCGTTACATTCGGAAAGTATTCAGTCCCCTTGCCTTTTCCCACATTTTGTTACTTTACAGCCTTATTCTAATATTGATAAAAAATATGTTTTTCTCATCAATCAACACGCAATACCCCACCTGTCTATATAAAGGTCCCACAGTTGACAGTGCATGTCAGAGCAAAAACCAAGCCGTGAGATCGAAGGAATTGTCCATAGAGCTCCGAGACAGGATTGTGTCGAGGCACAGATTTGGGGAAGGTTCCCAAAAAATCTCTGCAGCATTGAAGGTTCCCAAGTACACAGTGGCCTCCGTCATTCTTAAATGGAAGAAGTTTAGAACCAACAAGACTCATCCTAGAGCTGGTCGCCCGGCCAAACTGAGCAATCGAGAGAGAAGGGCCTTTGTCAGGGAGGTGACCAAGAACCCGATGGTCACTCTGACAGAGCTCCAGAGTTCCTCTGTGGAGATGGGAGAACCTTCCAGAAGGACAACGATCTCTGCAGCACTCCACCAATCAGGCCTTTATGGTAGAGTGGCCAGACGGAAGCCACTCCTCAGTAAAAGGCACATGACAGCCCGCTTGGAGTTTCCCAAAAGGCACCTAAAGGACTCTCAGAACATGAGAAACAAGATTCTCTGGTCTGATGAAACCAAGATTGAACTCTTTGGCCTGAATGCCAAGCGTCACGTCTGGAAGAAACCCGGCACCATCCCTACGGTGAAGCATGGTGGTGGTGGCAGCATCATGCTGTGGGGATGTTTTTCAGCGGCAGGGACTGGGAGACTAGTCAGGGTTGAGGGAAAGATGAACAGAGCAAAGTACAGTGATCCTTGATGAAAACCTGCTTCCAACAGGACCCTAAGCACACAGCCAAGACAATGCAGGAGTGGCTTCGGGACAAGTCTCTGAATGTCCTTGAGTTGCCCAGCCAGAGCCCGGACTTCAACCCGATTTTAAGATCTCTGGAGAGCAGCGACGCTCCCGATCCAACCCGACAGAACTTGAGAGGATCTGCAGAGAAGAATGGGAGAAACTCCCCAAATACAGGTGTGCCAAGCTTGTAGCGTCATACCCAAAAACACTTGAGGCTGTAATCGCTGCCAAAGGTGCTTCAACAAAGTACTGAGTAAAGGGTCTGAATACTTATGTAAATGTGATATTTCAGTTTTTTGTATTTTATATGTTTTTGCTTTGTCATGATGGGGTATTGTGTGTAGATTGAGCTGTTTTTTTTTGGGGGGGGAAGTAAAGGGGTCTGACTACTTGTACATAAGTGTCTGTAACAGAGTTGGCAGACGGTGTGGTACAATGCAGATCAAATGCTCTTAGTTCATAGGACTTTAATGGCTGAGATGGGAAAAGGTGTTTTCCGTAGGCTAAACATATCCTCCATATAATTTTTATGTTGAAAGAAGAGGTATTTGAAAGTTAATTTCTTAAAAGTTTGCCTTTCCAAAAGGCACCTATTCGTGGAATGACCCAGCTATTGTTCCTGGGGTCCACAAGATCCTACAGTGTTTGTGATTTTGGCTCATTTCATATAACCAGCAAACTGCTCAGGGTCAATTCCAGTTTGATTGAATTCTTGCAATTCTTGCAATGAAAGTAAAAGGCACTCCTGAATTGAAATGGAACTGAACACACAACCCTGTTATATCATCTTTTAAAATGTGTTGGGACCTTGTGAACTGCACAAAAAAACAATTTGTTGTGGTCTGATCTGCCAGTGAGTGTCTGACCTTTTTATCTCGGAACAAAAACGCCTAACAAAAACTCTCTCTTGCTGTCTGTGTGTGCAGGACGGCAGGGTATTCATCTGGACGTGTGACGACCCTTCAGGCAACACGTGGACGGCTAAACTCCTCCACAAGTTCAACGACGTGGTGTGGCATGTCAGCTGGTCCATCACTGGAAACATCCTGGCTGTGTCTGGGGGGGATAACAAGGTCAGTACACACACACACACACACACACACACACACACGGTCAGTGGTGAAGTGTTTACTCTTTTACCAGGCAGCTGAATAAACTTGATCCCCAGCAATGTATCATTTATGCCACTTAGCAGATACTTCATGCAAAGCGTCTAAAAGTACAGTGAGTTTATACACGTACATCCCATCATCAGTGCTGTCACAAATGATCCCCTTGGTTACCTGTCATTCTCGTCCAGTGTTGTTTTCTTAATGTATATTGTTGTCGGCTGTCTCCAGGTGACGTTGTGGAAGGAGTCGGCAGACGGCCAGTGGGCCTGTATCAGCGATGTCAACAAAGGCCAGGGAGCCGTATCGTCCATCGCAGACGGAGCGAAGAACGAGCAGTGATCCAGGCACAGAAGGACATTCCACTCCTCTTCCTACCCCCACAGAGAATGAATGGGCTACTACTCGAGACACTACTACCACCTAGCCTGTTAAGCTCAGGAGTGGCCCCTCTCTCTCTCTCTCTTTCTCTAACAGACTTTAAGACCATATTTTATGAGGACATTTCCCTACAGACCGATTTGAGGTGACATCGTTCAGTTTACGATGATCCAGCTTTAATTTCTATTCTCTTAATGAGAAGTCTGTCTTTTGATCCAATGATTTTTGTCTCAGTAAAACACCGGGGCTGTGTCTGAAATGGTACCCTATGCCCTATATAGTGCACTACTTTTGGCCCTGTTTAGGGAATAGGGTGCCATTTCAGACGTAGTCCACGCTTGCATGTCATTAACTCCCCTTTCCACAGCTCCTGAACTTCAAGGTGTTAATAAATGAACAATAATGAAGTGTTATTTTTAATAGTTTGTCTAATGAGACGTGTTTAATGCATGTGCAAATGGCTGGCGAAATTATATTAAATGGTTACCATTGAGGGAAAATGCCTTATTTAAAACCTGTTCAAACCTGCTCAGAACATTCATAGATTACATACTTGCTTGTAAAAAATAACGTTCTGTCAAATATTAAACTGTTTTTGTGCAAGATTTTCTTCCAATTGATTGTTAGAAACAAGAATGTTATGTTTTCATATTTCAAATAATTAAAAAGAACTTCAAGGAAAAGCTGTTTCCAAAAGCTAAACTATTTTTTTCTATGATTGATCAGTCAGGGAGGGCCTGTTTGGTGATGTGACTGCCCCAGCTGCCCCAGATCTGACACCAATAATCAACGAATCATTGTCTCCAGTTTAGAATAAGATTTGTTGTTTAATCAGGTGTGTTATCTAGGGCTGGGGAAAACGTGACACCAATCAGGCCCGAGGAGTGGAGTTTCCCAACCCTACATCAGATGGTCAGACAAGGCCAGCAACATCGACCTATGGGAGCACACCGGCCAGGTTCCTGTTAAGGAGGAGGAGATGTGGATGGATCGACCACCCCCTGAAAGCCCCCCCCCCACAACATCGCCAGGCAATCCTGGAACCCACAAGGTAAACCAAAAAGAGGTGTGCCCACGAAACACCTGGAGGCGGAGCTCCAAGCAGCAGAATCAGACACTGGCATTGGGTGTAACGAGATTGAGAAGAGAGTGCTAGGGAGGGAACTTGTTGATGGCCTATGCTCTCTGGGGAGTGCAGAGCCTGTAAGTAGATATGACCATATTAAAGGCAACACTTTATTGAAGGGTACCTAGTAGGCACGCAGCGATTGGTTGATGACCAAAAGTGCATGTGGCCATGTGAGTGAAAGGTGCACAGTGATTGGCAGCCGGGAGAATGGAATCATTATGTACCACCTACATAATGATTTTATAACTTATTCATAACACATTCATAAGCATAACTCACTTTCATTCCTACAGATCTATGTTTTTCGGCTTCCCACACCGGTACTATGTGTTAGTGTACAATAGTGTTTCTCAATGTGGGGCACTAGTACCCCTGAGGCCACCTGCAGATGGACTATCCACAGGGGGTAGGCTACTCTGGAAGACTCAGAAGAACATGATCATTTTGTTTTACTTTCCCCAGGACCTTACATTGAGTCACGTCTCTGACACACTAAATCATCTTCAACATCACCATTATCATCACCATTATCGTCCTGTTCTCTGAGAGAAAAGTGATGGAAGTGCTACTGAAGTCATCTTTGAAGCTATGAAGGCCTATAAGTGTGTGTGTCTATGTCTGTGTGTGTGTAAGAGCGCGTGTCTCACTGTGTGTGTGTGTGTGTGTGTGGATTCTGCGTCCACGCACTGCTGATGCCAGTGAGATGTCAACCGGAATAGCCTACCGGCGGCGGCTCTGTTCCCGAGTGTTCCCGTTCCGAGGCATGCAGGCAGCAGGGCGAATCATACACTTTGCCAAACACATGACCGAGAGAGCGTAACCTTTTGAGTCATGCTTTCAGTCTCTCTGCTTCCCAAGCGGTGTGTGTTTGTGCAACGAATAACGGACTACCTCCCATAAAATCTGCCAACGTCAAACAGTAGATTATCTTTTTTTTTTTTTCGTTTTCTAACACTTTCCGGGACTCACTCGCACCTGCTTCTTCACTGAAGTGGCGCAGAGGGAATTAATAGCGCGCTCATTGCATCGCTCGCTGCAGTCAATAGGCTAAACAGAAGAGAAGTAACAGTTTATGACCATTCTCCGTCAACATCGTTTGTTTGCCTTACTACAAAATAATTTAACCCTTTTCACAGACCGCTTTCATCTTTACCGACATGCCCGGTTGGAGAAGAAGCCTGACTTTATGTCTGCAGAGAATGCATGAAGGTAAGACAAAGGTTTTATTATCTAAAGAAAAGGGTCTGTTCCACTTGTGATGATGTTCAGTATCGTGAGTGTGACATTTCCTTGATCCTCTCATCCTAGATATTACGCACAATATCTAAACGGAATCGGGGGCTGTGTTGTTTGATGTTGTATCTGGTTGACATAAAGCTTGACATAAAGCGTCACTTCTCAGTTTCTTGACACAGAGCTGCGCACTGCTATAAGCACGTGCCATTTTCGATTTTGTTCAGCGCTACTCTTGCTACGGTTGTTTGTCACAGGCCGTTGCCTGGACCATATTTACTGATTTTAAGATGTTTATTGATTATGACAGGTTCTGTAGCCTAGCATTGGGGTCCACAGATTGTGTAGTTCTGCAGTCAACTGGTTCTGGGTCAGGTTTGTGTGGTGTGTGTGTCCATTTGACTTTGCAGAATAAATGACTCTGTTAGGATGTGGAACTTGTCATTATCCGCAGCCTGGTCTCATAGACTAGATAATCATATGGATTTTTCGTATAGAATAATACGAAATGCTCTGAGACCAGGTTGTTATGCATGGTCACGGAGACTAAATTGATTTTGGTCCACAACTTCATTTGAGATATGTGTGTGAGGAGCATCTGGTTACAGTAGAGATACAAGTGCCTAATCATATGGATTATTGGAGAAATCCCTTAGCATCTGGACTTTGCTACATTGGTGTCAGAGGTGGGATTTTGAGAGTGAGAGCTTCTGACAGCCTCTTTTGTCTTTGCATAAATATAATCGTGTGTGAGTGTCAAAGTAAATCAGAATGGCTTGTGAGGAACAGATCCTAAACATATCATCAGTCATTAGTCAATGAGGTGCTGTTGAGATTTAATGGTTGGAGTGGTTGGTTTCTGTCTCTGTGGACAATGATATTGTGAGAAAAGCAGTGTTTTTTTATTCCTTATCAAATAAGTGGAGGAGGACGAGACGTCCCATAAATCAGCAGAGCTGGAGTTCAAATTGGTCTTTAGTGTTTAAGAGGGTGTGTGTGTGGGCGTCCTTGTGCTTGTGAGTGTGTGTGTGTGTGTAAAAATATGTGTGTGTGTGTGTTTTAAGTGTACTTTCTAATCAGAGCAGAGAGGTGGACTGTCTGAAGGTGTCCCGATCTTATCTTTAGGCCAGAGGAGCACACAGTCTGTGTGTCTGTGTGCGTGTGTGTGTGTGTCTGTGTGTGTGTGTCTGTGTGTGTGTGTGTGTGTGTGTGTGTCTGTGTGTAGTGTGTGTGTGTAGTGTGCGTGTGTGTCTGTGTGTGTGTGTGTGTAGTGTGTGTGTGTGTGTGTGTATCCTGGAGGATTTTCAGCTTGGAGCTTGACCAGGGAGCAGCTTTTCAAGGCGTTTCTTCCTGTCTGTTGTCAGAGATGAAGGGTCTAAAAGGAGAGGTGTACTTCACTGGAGTGTGAAGCAAACTCTATTAACCTGGAGATATCTTGGTTGGCTCCTAAATGGCACACTATTCCCTACATAGTGCACTGCTTTTGAACAGAACCCTATGGGCCCACGTCAAAGGTAGTGCACTATATTGGGAAGTGGGTGCCATTTGGGAGGCAAAGCCTTGAAGAGCTGATATGTGTCTTCATGTCTCATGATTCTGGTGGTTTCTTTTCAGTTTTGACAAATTGATGTTTTATGTTGGCTTCCACTGAGCCAGAACCATCTTGGTAAACCTGGGTGGTAGCCTGGAACCATCTTGGTAAACCTGGGTGGTAGCCTGGAACCATCTTGGTAAACCTGGGTGGTAGCCTGGAACCATCTTGGTAAACCTGGGTGGTAGCCTGGAACCATCTTGGTAAACCTGGGTGGTAGCCTGGCTTTAAGATAAGAGCAGCTCTTGGTAAACCTGGGTGGTAGCCTGGCTTTAAGATAAGATAAGAGCAGCGTCACTATTCCTGTTCTCTAGTAGTCATGACTCATGGGATATATAAACCTGAATAAGAGCAGCATCACTATTCCTGTTCTCTAGTATTAGTATAGTAGCATTAGTAATGTAGTAGTAGTAGTAGTAGTAGTAGTAGTGGGATATACCAAAATGACTGCAGTTAGCCCAGCTAGACAGATACTATGACACCAGAAAAATCCAAGGTTTCACCTTTAGTGGCATACATTTTGGAGATACAGCTTGATGTAAGACATTGGCTGTCTCATTCGCTGTCTCACCAGCTTCTCTCCAAACAGAACATGCGTTTCAGATCCAAAGACTTCCAATCAATTTGTTTCAAATCCAATTGTCGTTGTTCAAATTACAACATACAGTGAGGGAAAAAAGTATTTGATCCCCTGCTGATTTTGTACGTTTGCCCACTGACAAAGACATGATCAGTCTATAATTTTAATGGTAGGTTTATTTGAACAGTGAGAGACAGAATAACAACAAAAAAAATCCAGAAAAACACATGTACATGACTTAGTACTTGGAGGAAAAACCCTTGTTGGCAATCACAGAGGTCAGACGTTTCTTGTAGTTGGCCACCGGGTTTGCACACATCTCAGGAAGGATTTTGTCCCACTCCTCTTTGCAGATCTTCTCCAAGTCATTAAGGTTTCGAGGCTGACGTTTGGCAACTCGAACCTTCAGCTCCCTCCACAGATTTTCT